CATAATCAAAGTTCCATTTCATAATCTCTCTCACTAGGGTAAAAGTCCATTTTACCCTTTCTAAGATAGACCCACCCAACCATGGCCCAAGGCCCAAAAAAACTATTGGGAGTATGCCATGTGTACTCCTTCCTTACGTCCGACGTACTGAGCTTCAACAAAAAAAGGTTCAAGGCTTAAACTGTTACGCCTTGCGTACACAAATATTACGCCTGGCGTACTCCTCTATTATACCAAACCACTTTTAAGCTCTTAATACCTAAAGACTATACGTCCAACTCATAAATCTTAATCTTGGGAGGGTCTTAATTGATAAAGTCAACAACTTTAATCTTTTGCATGGCTTAATAGAGCCCACAACCAAACCCTAAGTCCAAAACACTCTTTAATACCCTCAAACTCTTGCATGAGTGAGAAATAGCAACAAAGACTTCATTTTATGACACAAGATCCTCAGAAACAACATAAAGTAACAAACTTGAGCTATGGAGTAGCTTTTACTCACAAGAACTACACTATGGGACCAAAAGCATGCAAATCTCAAAGCTAGTCTAAATCTAAGCCATAAAACCGTAAAGGTAAGAGCTTTATACCTCTAGAAGCTTGCAAAGGTGATGAAGGCCCTGGATCTTCAAGCGCTAGCCACAACAATCCTCAAGGAAAAACTTATACTCTTTCACTATGCACAAAGAACACACAAAAGAGGCTCATACAAGCTAAACAAGGATTAGGGTTTCGAAACACTAGTTAGGGAGGATGAAGGCTGAATATGGGGAGGCCTTAATGGACGTAAGGTCATTAAATAGGGGCTCAACCGTAAAAAAGTAGGGTTTGGGATTTGCATTAGTATGCCCTGGGTATTCCTTACGTATGTTGGGCATACTCGACGAAGCCCGCGTCCAACTTACATGACCTAAGCCCAACGTATGCATCAGGTACGCCGTACGTAGGGACTTATTTTGCAAAGAATTTAATAATTAAGCTAGAATCGAAAATACCTAGAAACGGATGTTACAAATCTCCCCCACTTGAATCAGACCTTGTCCTCGAAGTCCACCCCTACAAATAACTCTGGATAGTGCTCCTTCATCTCCTCTTCAGGCTCCTATGTCCACTTCGAGCCTTTCCGGTGCTACCATTGCACCTTCACTAAACCCAACTCCTTATTTCACAGAGTCTCGTCATCCTACCGAGGATCGCCACCGGTCTCTCTATGTAGTTCAGGTGCTCGTCCACCTGAATGTCCTCTAATGGCACCATTACAGAGTCATCAACCAAACACTTTCGCAGTTGAGAGACGTGAAAATTGTTATGGATCTGACTGAGCTCCTCAGGTAGCTCCAAACGATATTGTAACACTTGGTTCTTTGTGCTTTTCAGTCTAGACCTTTGGGGGTGGAAGATTCGGTGGATTTGGTCCCTAGGGGGCAAAAGTGTCAATTTTGGGAAAGTCGGAGTACGCTGAGCTATCTATTAAAGGTGGATCGCGAAGCTCTTGCACGTACGTCGGGCGTACGTGGAGTACGCTTAGCGTACGAAAGCTGCTTAGAAACCCTATTTTTTGAGTTGTACCTTATATAAGCCATAATATAGCCTCTTTTTGCCTTGTTTAACCAGCCTCTTTTACCCTAAAAACCCTAATTCGTTCCTTAGCCATTGTGTGGTGCCTTTGAGCTATTGTGAGGCTTTTGTGGGGGATTTTGTGCATCTAGAGGGGGAAGAAGAAGCTTGAAGACTAATTCTTTGGAGGAGGGCCTTGAGATCTAGCTTTAGCACCTTCATTTTGTGGCTTGTGAGGTATAAAGTTCAAAACTTGTCATCTCATTTCATAGATCTATTCTTTGGCTTGTTTTTGGTCTTTTGGGTCCCTTTGGTTGGTGGCTGTGAGCTAAGGTCGTTTTTGGAGCTTATCCTTGTAGATATGGACATGATAAGGATTTCTTAAGCATAAAGGTGCAAAAATTTTGGTGGTTTTGGTCTCATGCATGTGTTAAGTCATTTATTAAGCTCTTTTGAGCTCTAGAACCCCATTAAGCCATGCATGCACATAAAGTTGGCAACTTTATGTGATTAACCACCTTAAGGAAGTCAAATCTGAGCTTGGGTCGTGGTCTTAATCGATTAGGAGCAAAATTGGAAAGTTGACCAAATTTGGTGAGTACGCGGGGCGTACAAGCCTGTACGCTGCGCATACAAGCCCTTTTAGCAGTATGCTGAGCGTACAAGCTGAGTACGCCTCGCGTACTCATCCCATAAATTGACAATGTTGTTATTTGTTCATAAAATGAACTTATGTTCATAAACGGTTATGTTCATAACTGAACATTTAAACAAAACCACATAAATTGGTCTTGTTCATGCATGTTCAACAATAAACATATATGAATGTATCTCCAGTAATGAACATATATGAATGTAAACTAATCAAATATATGAAGATATGCCAGTAAAACTAAAAATCAAATGGCAAACCATTGATACTAAGAATTAAATATTTCAAATCATAAAATTCCACCACAACTTGAAAATACCTACTTTTCCTCAATCTTAATAAATCAAATTCATATATCTTTCTATTCCTCCAATCGAGTTGCATGAAATCTTTTTTCCCCCTTCTTTTTTTCCCTTCTCAATCAACGCCCAAGTTGTTCCAACACCTACATTGTGATTACAAGTTTACAACCACATAGATAGCTAAATCAAATAAATTTTATTAATAGAAATGTAAAAACAGGCTTGCTGGTCAAAATATGTTGTATAAAATGATAGTGATAAACTATGACTTACTAGTGATTTTCATGATAAAAAATGAGGTTCAAGTGGTTCTCCATTGATTTTCCCTTTCTGTGTACGTCTCTCTCTCTCTCTCTCTCTCTATATATATATATATATATATATATATATATATATATATATATATATAGACACACATAATAATAATAATAATAATAAAATGCATGATAATTCACCTAATTTACATATGAAAAAGTTGGTTGTTTACCGTTATTCACAATCGCGACATGATCCATGACGAGCAATTACGATTGTGGCGTCTTGTGGTTGCGCGGTGGACAAGGAGCTGGTTGCGACGCGAGTGCCACGTGACCGTTGATTTTGACTTTGACCGTTGATTTTTTTAACAAGTTTGTTTTTTTGGTCAAATTGAAGGGTTTGAGTTGTAGACAAAGGTTTAACCTTTGATTGGTTTAGGCGGTTCGTGTAGCTAATTCTACAGGACTTCAAGTATTTTGGATTAAACTCTTTGATTCAGGTGATTTTTTCACTATACTATGTAAGTCACTAGATATCAAGGTATCCTAGATTGTCTTTGTGAAATTTTCATGAAAGGCTATGGTGGTACCATAACACATGTATGAGAAGACTATGTTGGTACCATAACATCTATATGAAAGACTATGGTGGTACCATAACACCTGTACGAAAGACTACGGTGATACCATAGAAGTTGCATGAAAGAATATGGTGGTATCCTAGCAGGAAAGACTGTAGTGGTACTGTAGCAACGAAAGTGAGTGTAAGACTATGATGATATCATAACATTCATATGAGTATATGGTATTTAGGATAACTCGCTAATATTTGTGTTTTCTAGTTTATGTTTGAATTGTTTCAGGTTGTTCCGGTAACAAGGAGAACGACACAGACTAATTGCATTGCACCCATGGATATGTATCTTCGGAGATTTCACACTTTTGATTTTTTTTTTCTTTTTATCTTTTGATAATCTGATTTGTTTATGGGTTGTCAACTAAAAACAAATGGTTATTTTCCTGTCGTTGAGAATGAATTTGGAATGATTACTTTTATTTAAAAATAAAAAAATTGGCTGAAAATTTGGGATGTTACACATGCCCCTAACAGTGCTAGAGCAATCTTCGAATTGGCACACTTAGGAGTACCTGGTCGGCTCCTTTTGATTAGATTCTGATGTGGATAAAGCTCGGTTTTTGCTTGCTCATGATAGTCGTTTCACGGTCATGTGTCGATTTATTGTTTTCTTCTCTCACTAGGACACGGAATGATTCAACTTATTGGTCAAAAATCATTCCACTAAAAGGTTCATTGTTTCATTTGGAGGGCACGACGTGGAAGGATCCCGATGGCGGAAACGCTAATAGATAGAAGGATTGTTATTCGGTTTGTTGGGTTTGGCTATTGTTCACATGTGACTTAGTTTGTGGACCATGCTCTAGTGGGGTGTAATATGGCTCTTAAGGTTAGAGATTTAGTGTTCAGAATTCATATACAACTCTCTGGTTTAACTGCGTTACTAGACTTTGTTGCGAATCAGATAAATAAAAAAAAGATATTCATTACCATCCATGAGATGATTGTTTTAGATAATGTTGTGTGAGATATTCATTACCATAAGCTATTGTCTATTATAGTATTTACGAAGGACAAAAAATAACAAGGTGTTCAACATTATTGTTTCATCACAATTTTAGATAATGTTATCTTTACATCCTTCACTTGGTATAAACATAGGGATAACAAAGGATATGGTAGTTGGATAGATTGGAGTTGTTCTTTTGTTTCAGTAACTTGTACATAGTTGTTAATGTACTTGTTCTAGCTTATGCTAGTTACAAAATTTTTATTATTATTATTTTTTATATATTTTATCGTTTCCAAAAAATATAGTGATTATGTTTGTACTAGTGTTAGTTTAGTTAAGCAATTGTGGTCTAATCAAATTTAAAATGACATTCCCTTAGGAAATTTATAGGTGAAGATCTTAATTTGTCTTGCACAACTTTGGTCAAATCAACTTATACATTACGATCGTAAAAAAAAACAAAATACATTGTTTACATTAATGATTTTTTAGCTAAAATTAGTTATTCTCGGTAATTTGTACAAAAATATAATGTTTTGTTTTAGACACAAGAAGACAAGGAAAGAAAAAGTCAACAGTGTTGTGAATTTTACGTAATTGTAATTAAGAATAAATTATAGTATAAGATAGATTTGGGTTAATGAGGTCGCTATCCAATTTTACACGCAACATCAATTCACTCCCTCCCTTTTTCCCTTTCTTAACAATCACCCCCTCCCTAGTCCCTCCCCTCCCACACACAAAAACTCCTCGGCTTCATCTGTCACTCTCCGACCACCGCAGCATTCGACAACCGACTCATCATCCGTTCATCTCGCCGTAAATTCCGACCAAAAATCCATCTGTTTCTCCGAATTTCAGGTTCAAACACAATCACAAACACGCGCTGCATCTGTGTGATACAAAATTTCAGATCTGCTTATTGATCAGATACTTAGTAGTTTGGAAACGGTAATCAATTGTAAAATTGTCGAATCAGTTCTTATTTTGTGTTTTAATTTGTATGCACAACTTATATAGTCGAGCTGTTACATTGATTGAACTAAAGTTTATTTCATCGTAGATTTTGTGATTTCTTTGATTAAGTTTGAATCTACATCAACAAGTGACCTCGGGAAGTTGTTATGACAATGCCATTTTGGCGCTTAAAAAAATTCAAGCTAGTTAGGCATTTGAAGTATTCTTACCTCTGTTAGTGAATTGGTGTGAGCCGGTAGTTTTCTACTACCTCATCCCAAATTGAACCTGTAATTAATAGCCAGTTTCATGGACGATCCTTACAAATTCGATGCATGTTGACCACAATCCAATAGTTAATCAATTTCAGATCATATACAGTGTGTTTCTGGAAAAGTGGAAATGGAAACTCTTGTCGGTTTGAAACCAATTTGTTTGGCCATAGTAGCTGGTGTAATGTTATTGGAAGATGTTTGCGTGTGGGGTCTTGTAGTACACATGTTACTTGATAAAATGACCTGACAAAAGAATGTGGCTTGAAGTTGGATCATATTACTCAGAGCCAAACATTTTTTAACTTATTTTTTATACCTCTTTCTGTATTTGCAGCCATGATTTGGCGACACTGGATTCATCTTCTGGTGCAACTGTAACAACTAACAAGTAACAACCTGCTGAAGTGTTATAGATCCTTATGATGTTCAGATCCAAAATCAAATGGGTGGCACTTGGAGGCCTGGTTTTGTCATTTTTGTCTTTGTTAGTGCACATGTTTCTTGCAAATACAAGTGTGGAGCTAGTACAATACAGTGTGATGACACGATTTATTGAGGATCTGAATATAGATGTTGTGGGGAAACAGGTAAAACTTGTACTTTAATCTGTAATTCCATAGATGTGCATGACATGATATTAAATGGTATTTGTACTTCCATGCTTTATATGTTTTTTTTGGTTACTACAGAGTGTCAGATCTAAAAAGTTGTGGAAAAAGGTCAAGTCTTTAGAGGTTTTGCAGCCATATGCAAACCCTAGAAGTAAATATCCTGGTAATGATAATGCCTCTACATTGTCTTACCACATGTACTTGTCTCCTCCCTGTTACTAAAACTTGTTTTTCACATTGCAGTTCCAGTTGAACAAAGTAATGGTTTCATATATGCCAAAATTTTTGGTGAATTTGAGAAAATCAGATCTTCGGTATGTTCATGTTTGGATCTGAGTTTTACTTTAGTATTTTCATAATCTTTTTCTTAAAGCTTATATGGGCTTGACATTTTTCTAGATTTGTGATCTTGTTGCCATATCCAGGCTTCTCAATGCTACTCTGGTCATCCCAGAGATTCAAGAAAGTACAAGTTCAAAAGGCATCAGGTATGTTTTTTTGTCTTGGAAACATATATTAGCCAGTAATCTTTTTAATTTTATTTTGTCATTCTTAACCATTTATTAATTTCCCTTATAATTCCCTGCAGTTCTGAGTTTAAAAGCTTTTCATACCTCTATAACGAAGAACAATTCATAACCTCTCTTAATAATGATGTAATCATTGTGAAAAATCTGCCTACTAAGCTTAAGGAGGCAAGAAAACGCAAAGAATTTCCTACTTTTAAGCCCAAAAAATCTGCTTCTCCTGATTATTACATTAAAGAACTGTTGCCAGAGTTAAAAAAGTCAAAGGTTATAGGATTAGTGGTTATGGATGGAGGTTGTCTACAGGTATTCCTCTACTCATATTTTTGGAGGATTCTTTATTTAAAATAACTTGTCAAATCATATTTATTAAAGTTCTACTCTCTGTTTTCTTATCAGCCTATTCTCTCATCTAAATTTGTTGAATATCAAAGGCTCAGATGTCGGGTAGCATTTCACGCACTTCATTTTCGCCCTGAAATTCTAGCACTTGCACATCTCATCGTGCAAAGGTTAAAAATTATCTTATTTTTTATACAATATCAAATTTAGCAAGTATTAAATTATCTTTCTGTTTGTTTTGGGAAATTGCAATATACTCTACTCTTTTTACTAATATAGCCAATGTACTTTATTTTTTACCCATAAAAACAATAAACTTACATTTAGTTTTCCATAATAGCAACATACTTGCATTTTTTTTTACTGAAAATAGCAATCTGTAACAAATAAAGCACAATGGTAGTAAAATGTAAGTGAATTAACTAATATAAGCAATATACACGAGGGTAGTTTAGTCATTTCCCTTTATGGGTAAAAGATAAAGTACATTGCCCATATTGGTAGTGAGAAAAAAGTACATTGTTATTCTCCGCAATTTGCCCTTTTTTTGTTTTTGTATTTTTTTTTTCACTCCTAATTACATCAGTATTTGAGCAAAACATCTTTTTTGCAGGCTACGTGCTTCAGGGCAACCTTATCTTGCATATCATCCTGGCTTAGTAAGAGATAGCTTGGCTTATCAGGGGTGTGCTGAGCTTTTTCAGGTCAGCATTTATTTTTAATTTTAATTCCACAATTAAAATGCTGATGTCATCTATCTTTGTATAGGATATCCATACCGAACTTATTCAGTACAGAAGGGCACAAATGGTCAAACAGAAAATGATCCGTGATGATGTCAGCGTTGACTCATTTATTCGAAAAGTAAACGGCTCATGTCCACTCATGCCCGAAGAGGTATAATATTCATATTTATAAGAGTATTTATGTATTCTAGAGTAAAGTACAAGAATGATCCCTAAGTTTTGTAAATTTTTGCAATTTTGGAACCTAAACTTCCAATTTTGCAATTATGGTCCTAATTGGATAGTTTCTTTCCAATTTTGGTACCTTTTTTCAGACAGTGTTAGAAATTCACTGTTACGATGTGCACGTGTGTTGCACACTAGGGTAATTTTGTCATTTCCCTCTATATTATTTATTATTAAGTAAAGATCCCAAAATTGACCATTTTTTTTTTCATAGTTATCTGTTATTTAACTTAACTACAAATTATAATTAATTATAAATTGTAGTTTCTTGTTGTTTGATAATAATAATAATATAAAGGGAAATGACGAAACTACCCTCATGTCCAACACACGTGCACAACTTCACGGGTGAATTTTGACACCGTTGGAAAAAGTCCCAAAATTGAAATGAAACCATCAAATTAGGACCAGAATTGCAAAATTGGAAGTTTTAATTCCCAAAATTGCAAAAAATTACAAAGTTCAGGGACCATTATTGTAATTCAATCTTCAATTTATATATCAATAATTTTTCAGGTGGGGCTTCTTCTACGAGCCATGGGATACCCACCAACAACAAGAATCTACTTGGCAGGTTCTGAAACATTTGGTGGTCAACGGGTCATGATTCCTCTCCGAGCCATGTACACAAATTTAGTTGACCGGTCTAATTTATGTCATAAACACGAACTAAACACACTATTAGGAAAAGAAACCCCAATTCCTTCCAACTCTCTCAATTCCATTCCTAAAAAAACCATCAAGGATTCAACACAGGAATGGAATAAGGCGGGCCCTCGTCCCCGACCCCTTCCACCACCCCCAGACCGCCCTATTTACCAACATGAGAAAGAAGGTTGGTATGGTTGGATTGCAGAAAAAGATTCAGAGCCGGATCCTTCACCAATTGATTTAAGGGATAAAGCTCATAGATTGCTATGGGATGCCCTTGATTATGTTGTATCAGTTGAAGCCGATGCGTTTTTTCCCGGGTTTCATAATGATGGCAGTGGGTCCCCTGATTTTTCAAGTTTGGTCATGGGTCATCGGCTTTATGAGATGGCATCTGCAAGAACTTATCGACCCGACAGGTGAGTACTCGTTTTTTCGTGGATTCCGGCGGAATCCGACATTCTGACGGAATCGGAATTCGATATTCCATTCCGTGGTCGGTTTACACCATATCCTAATATAGGTATGTTATTAAAATGGGCAGGAAATTTCTTGCAAATCTGTTGAACACTACACAAGATCATCTTTATTTTCCGAAGAGAAGCTGGACACTAGCAGCACGAAAACATCTAAATGACAGCCTGGCAGAGGAAGGACTAGAACGACAGCTCCTTCACTCAAAGCCAATGTCATTCCTCTCCCACCCGCTCCCGGAATGTTCTTGTACTATTTCCAAAAAACCCGGGAAAAATAGGTGTCCTAAGTGGATTGAAGACAGCTTCACTAAATCCAGATTACAGGAAAGTGAGAATGAACAGCCTGATGATGATGAAGTAGATGAAGAGGAAATGAATTCTGAAAATGAAAGCAAGGTAAATGATTCGCCTTCTTTGGAAGAAGATGTTGAAATGGACCCTGATGATTAGGTGATTAAAAAAGATTTATAGATTCTTTTATTGCGGTTGCACAGAGTGTGATACAGGTAGAGGGGAAAACGGTGAGGAAACAGAATTATAGTTTTACATTTTTTTTTTGGGATATAGTTTATACCAATGCCATACCTCTGTTGTTTTTATGTATTTCATCTGCATAATGTTTTAGGTTTTGAGTTTATGAATACCTGGAGAAGTTTTTTTTGGATCATGAAACAATGTAAACTTTAGATCATATGTACTTGATTTGAGTTGTTGCCCTTTTTGTACAACTTAGCTTACCATACTCTATAACAAAAAGACAAAATAAGTACAAAGTTTTGATGAGTTTTTTCCGTTACCAACCAAGAAATGCAAATGGGTTGATTTTCAACCTTTTTTTTTTTTTTGGGGAATGGAATGATATAGATTTATAATTATAAATTACTTTTAGTTTGTTTTTTTAAATAATTTATTGTTATTATTATTATATTTTAAGATTTCATTATATCTAGTTTTTTCTGTATAATTTTTTATATCATAGACGTTACCTTTTTAACTATTTCTAAATTAAACATATAACATGTATTTTGAATCAAATGCAACTTTAGGGGGTGTTTGGCAAATGAGTTTATTAGCTTATTACTTGATCTATATTGTAATAAGCTAAAAAAATATTTGAATAAAAACAGCTTATAGCGGTGACAAACTATGAATAAGTCATTTTTTTATACGTTAACTTATTAACTAATAGGCTAATAAGTAATAAGCAACAAGGTTTTTTTTTTTTTTTTTTTTTTTGTCAAACACCCTCTTATTTAACAATACATCCTTATTTAGTTATTATTAATATTTTTTTTCTCTACCAATTTTACTCTACTTAGTTTTATATTTATCGAAAAAAAAAACAATATTTTCGAATGACCCAATCTATTATTTTAAGCCAACCAAACATGACAATAAAATGTAATGAACTATTTCATTATCTTGTTTATCCTATTAAGTTGTTCATTCTTAGTCATTCCATTCTATCATTACAAAAATACTTTTATAATGTTTTTTATTTTATTTTATTACAACTTAGTTTTATGTTTTCTATAACAACATTGAATTTTCTGTGTATTTTGAAAAAAAAAATATTTAGTTTTTTTAAACGACAAATGTATATTTTATTTTGATTAGCAAGTAGCTAGCAAGATAAGTAAAAAAAGCGAACTATTACATGTTACAAGAACAGGGGAGATTAAATAAGGGACAAACACCAAAAATTCCAATTCAGTTGATTGAAAAACGGCTCTTGTTTTACTTTTTGTCACAATTTATTTTTTATAACGTCTTTGAAATTTATTTCCAACCCTTGGTTATATTGTTGGTGTTCCCCCCTTCTCTTTGACAATGTCTAGATGTGATGCTTATCACATTAAATTACAACATGCTACTTAATTATATGAACATAAGAGAGTGTTTCGCATAAAAATAAGTAGTTTTTATTAAATTTAATGTATAAAAGAATTTATATTCTGTATTTTATTTGAATAAAAGAACACCAGATAGACATCGATCATAAGAGATTTAAAAGGTTCCCGATGGGAGACTTCAAAGTTTTGCTTAGATTTTTGCAAGTTGAATGGCCAATTTATCGATTCTAGGAATATTCAAGAAAAAGGGTGATAGCGACCGATTCGAGGTGGTCAGCCTCCCAAGAATAATAGAAAGGAAGATAGGTGAGAGCCGATTATGGACGACTATTCCCCAAGAACAAAGATAATGAAATAGACTAAAACATACTTTTTTCTACATCTCCTTCTTAATACAAATACATCCATATATATAACTAAATAATCCTACTACTAGCTAATAATAAGGAAAACATGTAATCATGGGTAATGAAAACGTGTACTAGTAACTAAATGGAAATATGCATGCATGGTTGGAAGCTTCCAGGAGGTAAGGTTGGACTTTTTCAATTGCAAAGTAATGCCGACGATGTGAACCATATTATCAATCCAGTTGGGCCATGGAGGTGGCCTCGGGTATAACCCTAGACACGTATCAAAGGGCACACCAGGTTTGGGTTACACCGACTAAGAGAGACTGTTTCCTTAATGATACACATTTCACACAACCCATATTAAGCCAATTCCATATAAGTAGTTATATCATTCAAAAGCTGCAGTATATATGAACATGGTGAATTGGAACATATATACAACTTCAACTAATACTATCTATGAACCGAAGACAATTTAAAGCACTACTACAAAACCGTGCATCCAAAATCTTCAGAGGATGACAATTCTTTGGCCTCAAATTAACTATGAATTAGTGCGTAACTGGGTAGTGAGATGGACGAAAGCTTCTTCATGGCAAGGAATGGTAATTCCTCCCATCGGATGGTTGAATTCGAACTCCTCCTCTGACGCAAGTAACAGATCTTGGAACAATGGTTGCTCCAAGAACGATAAAGGAACCAAAAACCATTTCCTTTGAATTTCTCCAACGTACACAGCCAAATATCCTTTGGGAGCATCTCGCTGATGCTGCTTGTTCAGTTTAATAAGCTGTTTCGCGTTTGCAACTAATGAATGCAACCTGAAAACACCCATATTTCTAAATTAATCTTTTTGATAGAATGAATTGATTGATAGAAGTTGGGATTAGACTGAAGCTGTTGTGATGTGATGAAGCTAGGTTTCGGGTTTAACGTTTAAATTTATAGTGTATTTATATACTTGCAAGTTGCAACTAGCTACCCAAATGGGAAATATTTTAGGGGGTTTACTTTTCTTCTTGAAGGGCCCTAGCTACAACATGTGAAGCCTCACATGGCTTTGCTCACTTTAGCACACACAATTAACAAGAGACTTTTTGTAAGCCATTGATCAGTCAATATACAGGAACTTGGCCTAGTTGTTTCTCTGAGGTCATGATCAAGAGGACTCGGGGACCAAACTTTAATTTGAATCAGCATCTTTTTCTGAATTACGATACATGAGCCACCCAACATGGAATATTAATGATAAATGTAAGACCACTGTTTCATTCTCAACGGAGTTATAGTAGTGATGGATACACTTTAGGTATTTTAATAGAAATCATCAGAAGATGCTTCCATTAGAATTGGAGCGATAACCGGTCTGGGCCTTGCATATGCGAATATATCTTTAATAAAAAATGGATGCAGTTGAGATTCTTGAATTTTGGTACCGCGAAAGTTAGGCCATCTGCAATGCTTGTCACGAGCAACGCAACCACGAAGACCAACACGAAGCACGAACCGGTGGTGGTGTACCAGTGACGAGCACGAACGGAGAGAGAGGAAGAAGAAGAGGGCCTGCTGAGAGAGGCATCTCCGTGGTCCTCCGTCTTCCCCACCACGAATCACCACGACCACGAAGGTCTGGGATGGTGTGCACGGACAACGCTCGTGGCCACATAGACCACGAGCCCCTTCGTTGCCGGTATACCAGACGGCCTTATGACCATTATCGACGGAAAAGAAAAGCATACAACAAATTATATTTGACTTATGAATTAACAAGGGTGGACTAATTTTTTTTGAAAAAAGGGCAAAAAAAAAATTATAACATTTTTCATGGCAGTAAAATATCTTTGAAAAGTCAAAATATATTATAATTGAAAAAATAAATTATTATTAATTTTTTGCTGTGCCCCACCCCCTTCAATGTAGGTTCGCCCCTGTGAATTACCGGAAAATAAATTTGATACAAAAATTGATAAAATAGGTAAGGATGCTCAGATTTTGTTTGAATCGTGTATATATTTAGACCGGATCATACCGTGATTTCTTTAATTTCTTTATATTCATTCCATTGATTAAGACTCTATCTCTCTTGATTTTAACAAGTTTATTGATCATATTTTTTTGATGAAACAAATTAATAGAAAATGTTGGTATGTAAACTTATTTGCATAATTTATATATTTGAGATACCTACAAACAAAATAACTAAAACAACAAAGGCCAAACGATGACCTATTTATTAAATCAAATAATAAATAAATTATGTAATAATAACCAAAATAATAAAAATGGACCAAAAGTCTAATTTCCTATTTCATGGTTAATCACATATAGACTGCAGTCTAATTTTCTAACTGATTGATATTGATGTTTGTTCAAATTGAAAGCTTATAACGTTGGGATATGACAATGACTTTTAGAAGACACTGACTTGTGGGTGCTTGAACCTTTGTTATGATACATATTTGATACCTCACATATTTCTAACCTTTGTTATGATACCTATTTGATACCTCACCTATTTGATACCTCACATAGTTCAAATTGAAAGCTTATAACGTTGGGGGTATGACAATGACTTTTAGAAGACACTTATTCGGACCGTTTGTTATTCGTACAACTTTTAAACTCTAAAACATTTTATATTAACACTAAAAGGGTTTTAAATGTGTATGTTCAAACTACTCGGACGATGGGTGTTTCAGTTAGCCCATTCAGATTGCACAATTGGAAGTGCTTACTGTTGGGATATATATATATGCACAATGACGTGTTTATTATGCACTATTAGTCTTAAATTTATGAGTACTGTCAAATCTAAATCAGTTAACCACAAATAGACAGTGTACATAGTCGTGTAATAGTATAGTAAAAGGAAGAAAGGGTGTCGAACTCTCGGGGAACATGTATGATTTTGGTTCAAATAAATAAGCAAATAATTAAACTAAAGAAAATACTATAAATAGGGGATTTTTTGATTTTACAAGTTCAGAAACTTAGTATTATCAAATTCAAACAACTAAGCAAACAAAGATCAAAGAACGTGATTTTAAAGTAGTATATTTGAAGTACTTCCACTAGATTTCGAATCCCCCTAGTTTTCTATGTTTGATTCGTTAGTATGCAATAGATTAATGAGTTGGTTATCGAATTTTATGACTAGTTATCTTGGTCGGATTTTCTAGTTCTAATGATTAATGAACATCTAATTTCAATGATCATGCAAATTAGTGAATACAAAACCATATAATTAAATTCAACTGTGAATGATATGATCTAGTGATTCCTTATCAATGGTCATGACAATCAATCTAAGCATATCATGGATAACTAATACTCTCTAACACAATCAAAGTCAACAATTAATATTACCTAACCCTAGCATATGATCAATTTCTAGTCCTAATAGTTTAATGATCATAAACTAATTAAAATTCAAGTTAATGTAATTAGATTAGTCCTCTCAACTACACATAACTCAACAATAGGAAATAAAAATCATAATTTTAACATGAAA